GACCTATCGCTGAAGATCTGGTTGTCCTCCACGATAAGGATCAGGCCCGGTACGAGGCCACGCTAGAGAACGCCCTCAATCCGGCGAAGATAGACGCTTATGGATATCCTCAAGTGCTCTCCTTTTTCGAGTTCACCGACGCCTTAAATCCTAAGGTCATCGCAAAGAATCGCCTCTCCATGACGGCGTTGGCACGTATCCGGCAGGACCTCACTTCGGGGACCAAGCTCAAGACGTCGTGGATTATCAATCCGTACGTCGACCCTTGGAAGACCCTTATCGATTACGGCGGCGTCAAACAGCGCCAACTCGACGTTATGGCCCAGATAGCCGACCGGACCTACGAACTCCCCACCGTCGATCCGCCATCTCAGAGAGAACGCGATCGCGAAGACTGGTCCGACCTGGAGGACGCCGAAAATGACGACGATCAAGCGGCATCTTCCAGCGCGGGCACTGGCACGTCGGCTCAAGATGACGACGAGGACGCCGGCGAGGATGACGAAGACGGAGAAGACAACGGTGACGAAGTCGTCGACGCAGAAGACAACGGCGGCGACGAGAACGACTCTCGGAACGTCCACGTCTTGTGATCCAAGTCGTTCCGCCCTCCTCGTCGAGTCTTATGCCCCAGCTATCCCTTAACTCCATTCCAATCTCAGCGTTCTTTCCCGTTTCGCATCTTGACTCCTTACTCACTCGTCAGACTCCTTTTTCACCATTTAGTGTCTTGGCACGCCGACACGCGTCTCGTTCTTCTTGATTTCTTCCGCCCTCATCACGTCACCGTCCCAATGAGGCAAATCCGCCTCGTTCCAAAATCATCACTTCGAAAGCACTTCGCAGGGATGCAACTTGAAGTCACTCCAATATGTACAATGTAAACACGCACTCATGCTCAGAGACTCGCAAGTCCACAAGCACGCTCCTTGGCGTAGCCACTACACCTCGTCCGTTCCAGCTGGCCCTTGAGCCAACTAGAACATTACGTCTGCGTCGTCCACGTCCGCGTTGGCATCCACCAACCGGGCGTTCCGACGTAACTCCGGCAAACCTTTCCTCTTACGGTCGGCGTCCTCGAAAGCCCTGATTAGCGTTCCAAACTCAGGAGCTAACGCTGCTCGCGCCAACCAGAATGTCTCGTACGTAGCCGTTAGTACTAGGTTCTGTAGTTCGCGCTTCTCGACTCTCTTAGCCACAATTTCCACTATGGGCGATGACACCCCGGAGAAGGCCGTTTCCTCTCCGCCAATCGATAGGCGTTCTACGAAACTCGTAGACGGTAGGTCATTCATCTCTAGGGGACCCGCCTCTTCTTCGGAGTCGTCTCCTTCGATATTGTCCGGGACCTCGTCCGCGTACGGTCGACTCCAGCGTCCCCTGAAGCGTTTCAAGCGATTCACGTTCACCGTGACAATCTTGTTCGGGTGAGCCGGGATTGCGATCTTGTAGGCGTTCTCCCCGACCTGGCCGACAACACGGTACGGGCCGTGCCAGGAGAACGCCAACTTCTTTGTCCTGCGTTCCCCCACTCGTGCCCTGAAGTACTGGTACACCCAGACGGCGTCTCCGTCAGCATACGTCACCTTCACTTGTTTCTCCAACCGTTTCTCGTGTCGATCCTGCGCCTTGAGCAGCTGTCGCTCCACTAGTCTTCGCGAGTTCCTCAACGAGTGATATAACTTCCACCTGTATACTGCGATTTCGTTGCTCTTCCATTCCTTTCCGGTATTCAGGAACGCCAAATCTAGGGGCAGTATAGGGTCTCGCCCGTATAAGCTAAAGAATGGGGTATCCCCTAGACCTTCATGGAACGCCGTCCGATACGCGAACAGGACTCTCGGCAGGTACACATCCCAGTCAGTCTGCGTCTCATTCACGAACATCCTTAGCATCCCCATCAGCGTTCCATTGAAGCGTTCCACAAGCCCTTGTGTCTGCGGGTGGTATGCCGCCCCATACAGCTTCTTAATTCCTAGCGTCTCGTACAGAGACTTTGCCAGATTCGACGTGAAGTTGGACCTCTATCGCTTAAGAGGCGTTCCGGAACGCCATGGCGATAGATGACCCACTCTATCATGGTGTTTACGAAGGAAATAGTATCGAGTGACGCGACAGCGAACGCCTCGACCCACCGCGTGAAATAATCCACGAACACCAGGATATATTTGTTTCCCCGGGGTGTCACGACAAGGGGACCGATTGCGTCCACCACTAGCAATGCGAACGGGCCTGACAAGTCTTGTACCGGCATCCTTTGCATCAGCCCCGCTCGCCAAGGCCTATGACCCTTGCCACCACCGCAGATGGAACATTCACGTAC